CCAACTGACGGTTTCGCAAATGAAAATTATAGTTTCTCAAAGCTATCTTGAAATGGTATACACGCATGTTTACCCAGCCGTATTGCGAAGAACCCTGACTCTTATCAGCAGGGAACAACGAAGTATGATGTGGTGCGGTGTCCTGTGCGTGGCAGCAATCGGACCCCTGATAGAGGGTTATATTTTGCTGTATGGCCCTCAAATTTTCAACAATGCTGGAGTAGCCGGGATTGCATACGGTTAAATACCATACGCACAAACACACACACACACGGCTTGGTAGTGTGAACGCAGTTCTTACCGGTATAGCATTGACCACAAAACTGATCACCACCCAAGTGTGTCTTATCACACGATTTGTGTGTGTGTGTGCGCGCGCGTATTATTAATATTCAGTGGCTCGCGTGTTTTAGGGACCAAGGTGTCCTGTTGACTTCAAAGAATTAGGAGTGAACTAGTGGATTCGCTACACCTATGACGGAGGGGCGGGAGGGAGCAGACTATCGCATAGGAAGCCCATGGAGTTTAGTCAAATCCGCTGGGGCTGAACTCCATCAACGCGAAAATAAGGTGGATGGCGATCCTCACTTTTGCAGTACAAATTGAACGGAATACGGTGGTTTGGAGGAATAGGCCGAGATTTAAAAACTAAAAGTTGGCCTTGACGGAAAGAACGCACAAAACACGGTCAACTACGGAAATCAAATAACCGCGACGACGATGACGACGACGACTGGGTTTGAAATGAACCCCAACCGGCACAGCATCTCGGATGTCCATGTGTGTGTGAGAGAGAGAGAGCCCAAGTCGCCAGAAAACACGCTATTCTGATGTCAGGAATCAAATCGCTTGGTCTCAGCGATAAATCACGGACGCGTAGGAGAGCAATCATCCACGAGAAAAGTGTATGCTAAATTGTGCTTCATCAAATAGACCGGTTCAATTCTGACCAATTACTCAGATGCGTCGAGCATCCAGTTTTCGTGAACCGATGCCGCCGGTTGTGAGTTCACAGGAAAAGCACTTGGTCTCGCTTTGGGCAATCGGGTATTATCGCGCAGATTATCGGCTGATATCTGTACACACAACAGCAACAACACTCCCAGGAATTACAATAGCAGTCTAAAACGCTTGCAAGCTCACTACGAATAGAACCGCCGAGCATAAATTTTACTTTGCTGTGGCTAAATGAACCTAAGCTACACAATTTGAATACAGAATGACGATTGTTTCTGTGACAGTATCCTGTTTCGGAACAGTTTCTTGAGATACAAACTGTGAGGGGAATTCGAGAGATTTTTTTCAACATTCGTTAACCTCAGAATATTGCGATATTTTTCGATCTGACTCGCCTACAGGAGCATGACTAGAGTTTGTGGGTCGAGGCCAAAGGATTACGGGTTTTGGCTAAAGCTTGATGGCAAAAGGGGTGACTTTCTTTTGTCAATTGAACGTAAACCACTCATTCGGTTCGATGGGTTATTCATCTTAAATATTAAAGCATCGGATTTACAGTAGAACAGAGCACGTCTTGTCAGACAATGACCAGTAGCCGATTTGCAAAATACTCTGTCCTCAGTTTCCATGTAAATCGGTGAGCTCTCGAGAGGCTTTATTCATCGTTAATTCCTGTGTGAACCAGTGGACGGATATGAAGAATCACAACGTTCCTTGATGCGACAGTTTTTTCTCTCACCGATTGCAATCCTTTAACTTGTTTCTGAACAACTTCTGCCAATGGCTTTCCAGTAGCCGGTATCCTATCTCAAAGTAAGAGTAGTTCAGCAAGATCGCTTGTTCCCATAGTGTGTGATAATTAGTCATTTAAATTTACCCAAGGTGTACCGTACTCTCATGCTACAAACTGCACGCGTGCCTACCGAGACAGCTGCTATTAGGCTGCCGATTGTGGGATACTCTTCATCACAGTGACAGGTTCCATGAGCTGAATACCGTGCAGAATGAAGGAAAGCAATAAAACTAGCATAGAGAGTATAAAATCTAACAATAGATACACCTCTGAAAGACTTAGTATGGTCGAGTGTGGGTGTCTAGGTTTGCGGCTGGTCATTCTTCCCTATACGATCAAGCATCTAGAACAACCTCTGCTGAGAAAGCCCTACTCACTGCCTTCTCGTGGCAGAGGTATTTTCGCACCAAAGTGAGAAGACAAAAAACCAAAATCAGATGTCATAAATGGGTCGCTGAACCACCACTGGCAGCTCACCTAGGGGAGTAGGCTAATAACCTCGATTCCAAACCCACCAAGAAGAGGCGTAAGAAACACACACAACTTCCTGGTTGTGTCAATGGTCACCGGCTCGATTGGGTATCGAGGTGTATTGGGCACCTTGGATCTTTGACCCCGTCCAAAGGGTGTATGATCCGATGAACTGGGCACCGGCCCCAATTGATCTCGGTTTTCACACACCGCCCAGCTGCCTTGCGGGTCAGGCTTTGGCTAACCGAAGGCTCCGGTAGTGAATTTCCCCAAAAGATTCATCCACCTTGGCCTGGGTAATCTGGCCGCGTATCGCCCACAAAAATCGTGCGATTTTCTTTCTAAGCTATGATTTGTTTGGCACACAGACCGGATTCATACGTGCGAAATACAATATGATACCCAGGCAGTCTAACCTCCAAAGAGGACAGTAAGAAAGGGACCGCTGACGGTTTGCTGCCATTTTCAGTTGCTTTCCACCAGCTCATCAATAACTGCTAACAGGGTAGAGTAGACTACTCTGTGAATTACGCAATACGCCTTCCCACTAGTGTCAATTTGATGTTAAGTAGTATACAGGATAGACCAGATAGGAGGGCAATCGCAGTGGCGCAGTGGTTTGATCGCTGTCACCGGTGTGCACTGGACCCTGTGGTCCGAGGTTCGAGCCCCGCTACCACCACTCGACTTTGGCGGTAGACAGCTTTGCTGTCGTCCGGCTCAACACTACGCCTAACCTAGCGGGGCCTTACGTAGTTCGCCACTCCAAGTCCCGGGGCTTAGTTTGCCGGTTTCCACCACCGGACAGCAGGTCCTCGTGACTATAGGGTTCACCCCATCAGCTGCTCATCACACGTGGGCGTGTAATACAAAAAACCGGTGCGGCGCATTGGTTTCTATTGGTTCTGTGAATAAAATGGATGAAAATGAGCCACGGCCACCCGGTAACAAGATGGTCGACTAAGGTTTGATGCTGAAGGCTCGGTAGAGTGCATAGCGTAAGACGTACAGTTCAGTTTCAGTTTTTACAATCATTAACCATACACTTTCTGAGACGGTTTTGGTTACCCATTTGTATAAAAAAAACAGGATGAAGATTGGAATGTTGGGGGCAAATGAATTGAAAGATAGCGAATTTATACAGACTGAAGTTACGAGAATAGTGAGTAGATGCATGAGTGACACTGTTTGCGACATCCAGCCATATCACTCAGTGACCGTAATCAACAGTGACCATGATCTCGGGGTCCCCAGTCAGGGAGCCTAACGGGACCTATGTGACCTAGTCTCCTGGTTAGGGTTTTCATACCCTCATACCAG